TTTTCTTCTTCCTTTCCTTTCCTTTCCTTCCTCTCATTCTCATCTCCTTCCTTTCTTCCATCCTTCCTTCCTTCCTTCTTCTCCTTTCTTTTCCTTCTCATCTCCTTCCTTCCTTCTTTCCTTCCTTCCTTCCTCTCATTCTCATCTCCTTCCTTCTCTTTCCTTCCTCTCATTCTCATCTCCTTCCTTCCATCCTTCCTTCCTTCTTCTCCTTTCCTTTCCTTCTCATCTCCTTCCTTCCTTCTTTCTTTCCTTCCTCTCATTCTCATCTCCTTCTTTCCTTTTCTTCTTCCTTTCCTTTCTTTCCTTCCTTCCTCTCATTCTCCTCCTTCCTTTCCTTCTTCCTTTCTTTTCTTTTCTTTTCCTCTCATTCTCATCTCCTTCCTTCCTTCCTTCCTTCCAAATTTCCATGTCTACCATATCCTTCTTTTCTTCTGCTTTCTAATTTTTTTCAAGGTTTTCCTGTTTGGATGATGCTCCCAATTTTAAAGCAAAGAGATTTCTAAAAACAAAAAAAACCCCCGTGCCAGAACTCTTTGATTCCCCTGCCTGCCCTTTAACGGAGGTGGTGCTTGGCCAGTTCCTTTGCCCAGAGATTTTTCCATGCATGGTTAAAACAACTACGCAGCAAACTGATGTGTGTGTGTGTGGGGAAAAGATTGCTATCAGAGTTTGTGTGGTGCGCAGCTAAGAAAGCTCTTCTCTTTTTCGGCTGAAATCTGAGCAGGGGTGGTCCTGCACGTTGAAAGGCCTCTTCAACTTTATTCATTTGTTTTTGTTTAGCCAACTTTGTAAATAGTCTGCTCACGGCTCCCACTGGAATTTAAGACATGCGGATCCCGTGACTCGCCCAGACAATGATTTGGGTTGAGAAACAGATTTTCTAAACAGGCTGCGTAGCTCCGACGGCTTTGGGGAGAAGCTGCGCTTTTTAAAACAGCCGCCCCACCCCAAGAGGGTGTCAGATGAAAAAAGGAATAAATGAGCAAGAGAACCTGTCTTTTCCTTCCTTCCTTCCTTCCTTCCCTCATTCCCATCTCCCTCCCTTCCTCCTCCCTCCCTCCCTCCCTCATCACTGGAGGTTTTCAAGAAAAAATTGGACAACCATTTGTCTGAAATAGTCTAGGACTGTAGGGTCTCCTGCTTGAGCAGGGGGCTGGACTAGAAGACCTCCAAGGTCCCTTCCAACTCTGTTATTATGCTATTCTTTTTTTCTTCCTTCCTTCCCTCCTTCCTTCCTCCCTCCCTTCCTTCCTTCCTTCCCTCCCTCCTTCCTTCCTTCCTCCTTCCCTCCTTCCTTCCTTCCTCCTTCCCTCCCTCCCTTCCTCTCTCCCTCCCTCATCACTGGAGGTTTTTAAGAAGAGACTGGACAGCCATTTGTCTAGGGTCTCCTGCTTGAGTAGGGGGCTGGACTAGAAGACCTCCAAGGTCCCTTCCAAC